CTCTAAGCCCCATCCAGCCTGGCCTTGAACACTTCTAGGGATGGGGAGCCTCAGCACCCTCACAGGGAAGAATTTCTTCCTAATACCTAAACTAAACGTGCTCTGTTTCAGTTTGAAGCCATTCCCCCTTGTCCTGCCACGACAGCTGCTGATACAGAGTTCCTCTCTGGCTTCCCTGTTCACCCCTTCAGATATTGGCAGGTTGCTCTGAATTCTCTACACAACCTTCTCTTCTCCAGGCTGAACAGACATTTGCTCCAACAGTTCTATGTCCTTATGTTGGGGACACCAGAACTGTACACAGTACTCTAGGTGAGCAAGAGCAGAGCAGAGGGGAAGAGTCACCTCCCCAGGTTGTGTGGGACTGGCTCTTTGGGACACTAACAACCAGAAAAGGCAATTCAGACATACAGCTGCTTTCACAGCCCTTAAGGCTGCTGAGCTTCTCAGCCTCTCCAAGAGTAGCTCCCTGGTGTTTATTTTGGTAGGTGGAAGGAGTAATGAAACCAAGGTTTGCATGGCCCTATTGTCACTGCTTCTTCAGATTGTGATTCAACCTTCACCAAATTGCCCAGGGCAGCTATTAGAAATAACTGTTATCCCTAGCATGACACTGGCAGGATGCCTTGCCCTATCCCATTTGAAGTCTGGAGTGCTGCTTTGGATTCATACAAGGGTATCCAACACCAATGTGTTTTTGTAAGAAACACTCATGTGTTGGCTGTTTCCTTACCCAACAGCTGGGCTCTAAATTAAATGTTGTTTATTAATAACATATTTTTGGCCTAATTCTTAATGAAATGTCCATTAAAAACATTCATCTTAATACTAAATGCCAAACTCCAGTCTCAGTTACACCAGTGTAAATCTAAAATAACTCTATTGATTTCGGCCTCCTGGTTTATGCTGCTATTTGCCAGCAAAGAGACAGCACCCTTAAATTATCACTGTGAACCAGGAAAAGTTCAGAAAAGCTCATTGCAGTTAAGTTGCATCAGGGTTTCATTATCATTCTCTCTTTTCATATGCTTGCAGCTTTCAAGCTGAAATTTTTCATGCTTCACCTCAGACAGTGACAGTTTTTGAAAGGCCAGTGAGAAAGTTTCCATGCTAAGCAATCACACACGCCAAAACAAAAAGAAGCAGAAGCCCCCAGGACCTTCAGGTTGGGAATGACTCTCCCCTGGTTTTCTCACATTTCCCGTGGGCTACCAGGAGGCAGAGGGGGACAAGAAGTTTTGCCTCTTCAGAACTGTAATCTCTGTGAGTTCCTCTGCTTTTCTACCGTGTGATGCTCCTGAAGCCCAGGAACTCTCATTTCTCCCTCTTCCCTAAGCTCCCCTTGGAAAACAAAATCATTCACACAGTGACAATGAATTAATTGTGTCACTGCAGGAACAGCTCTCAGGCATCAGAAATTAGGAAGTGAGAGAACTGAAGCTGTTCATTCAACTTTAATTAAGTCCCAGTGTAAAATACATTACAATAGTCTTTACTCTTTTATTAACACAGCCCTGGGCTAACTCTTACACAATCTAACCAGTACATTTTTTTCCAACAATACATTTCACAGATGAAGATGGTATTATTACCTATTGCTAAGACTGTCCCATACCTCCCTTAGACCCTGTTTTCCATTGCTTCCCTAAGCTTTCAACATGTGGGATCAAAGTTTCCAGTCCTGGGCCCTTTTGCATTTTTCCAATGCAAAAATCATGGAGAAAATTTCTACCAAAATATTTCTCCCAAATCCAAACAGCTAGCTAATGAAAAAGACACTATTTTGCCCAAGTTAAAAATTCTGGCCACCTTTGCTAGGGCTGAGACTTCAAAGCTTGCAGGAGGCAGAATATTGAGTTACTGCCACCTATGCCAGAGCAATGGCAACACCTTGAAGAAATGGTAACATCTCTAACTTCTGCAAAGACAAAACTTTCATAACAATCAAATTATCCAGAAGGTCCTTTTGTTCCAAGTGTGCTCTGGTTTGGGGGCTGAGTGAGACTCTCCTCCATGGTCTGTGCTGCTGTAGGCTGAGACCAGGAGCAAAGGGAAGAAAGTTTGTCTCTACCCAGTGCCAACAGACTTGGAGAAGAGATGTGAACAGTAAAATGTCAAGAGTTCTTTGTTATTCG